GCTCAGAATGGACAAACCAAACAGTGGCTCTAGATAGGACCCTTTTGTCGTGCCATAGATTAGAAAAGAAGGTGAAGATTAGACTTAATGAGCTTAATGATTAGCACCATGTGGTCAGTGGAATAACTTACTGTAGAAAGTGGTCAGTAAGCCTCCCTACACCCTCACTGCATTTATTGTGATTGGTGAATGGGTTAGCTGAGTACTATGGAGCAGTTTCTTGTAGTCAGTTTTTGGGGCATTTGTCTAGGATTTATGGGAGTAATTTCACACTATAATATCAGTTATATTTGTGTTAAAAAAACGCACTTGTCTTTTCACCTGGGGTCACATGGTTGGTTGGTTGCATCTGTGCAAGTTCATTAACAACAAGACAACAAAGGACAAGCGGATTTATGTACTAATGAGTCTGATGTGATAGTGTGTGGGGACACGTTTATAAGAGCAGAACAAGTTATGAGACTAGATTCATTCAGCGTTGTAATCCTATGTTCCCAAAGTTATGTGCTGTTGGTCTTGTTTAGTTCTTTGGTGGGAGTGAGGCTCTGGCTCTGATTGGTTGTTTTCATCCAGCCCGGTGGATTCTTGCAAATGCCATCAGGAGCACTAGAACAAGCCAGAGGATCCTCATTTTTCCATGGATTATCTGTTTCATATACTATTGTCAGAACACAGTAGCAATAATGACATACATTTTTTTTATATAAAAGTTAGCTACTGCAGCTTTAATTTTATCCAAAAATATGCAACCTTGAAGATGAGCTGTGTAGAAATTCATGTCACATATAGGTCAGTACTAAGAGTTATGAAGGAAGTATCTTTAAATAAACTCATTCCCCTTTAATAGAGTTAACTTATTTATAACATTTAACTTGATAGAAGCCATTGTTTTATATGTTAAGGTGCACAGGCACATGTGCCAGTGTTTGCTTACATGTGTATCTACATCGTCTTAGTGTATACATGTGTGGATGTAAATATGAATGCGTTTGGTGTGTAACATTTTCAATATACAAAGACATTTTATTGGAATAAGACACATTTTGTCTCACTGTAAAGTCATAATCAAATCCAAACACCCGTTCAAAACTGTGGTGAGATGCAATATATAGAAATATGCAATCATTTGGCATATCTGAATTGATTGGCTGACAGAAAGACAAAGTCAGTGGTGATTGGTTCCTTCATGGGTCGACATGAGGAGATGACAGGGACGGTTGCCAGGCAATCAGTAAAGTCTCCAATTACAAGATCTACTGAAATCACAGAAACGCTTGATGGTGGGAACATGCTAATTACCTTCACCACACCACACACACACACACACACACATACACACTTTCAGCACCTATTATCACCCCTGAATTAGACCCATCAGCTGTGTCTAGAGAGGCAGAAATGGTTACTCACCACTTTTTTCCCTTTTTGTTCCCTCTAGTGGTGTGATTTAGTCAGGACAACAGAGAATGAAAGGCTGGAGCCGGTCATCAGGTGTGTGTGGAGGAGAGACACATGTGTAAGTGTTTGTGTAAGTCTGTGTGTGTGACCTCTGTGTTCAGGTGTAGATCTGGGAAAATCCAATCTGGTTGAAAACCGCAATTCCACGTCTTTGAATCTGTCAAGGTGGTTTCTATGGAAACCACATGCACTCAAAAAAGACTAGTGAATGCCTTTTCAAACAGCTATTTTGAATAGTAAACAGAAGTTTCTCTTTGTGTCTCTTAGGACATTTTTTATCTTATTTTCATTATATGAAAATGGACTCTTTTATCAACATGTTAGTTTACACTAATGCACCCCTAACAGCATGCAGCTCATTGCCTTTTCATCAACTCCTGATATTTAAATTACTGCTGCCTCAGTCCAATGGCTGTATAAACCTAGAAGCACAAGAAAAGACTTTGAATATTTTCAGCATTACTAATTTAATGTCTGAATATGATCAAAGATTAAAGCTTTTTACAGATCAGATTTCCATTTAATAAAATGATGATGGCATATGGACAATATGCTGACGGTCTGTGGTGACCTGGACCCTGTTATTCAAATAAAATAATACTTTTTATTTTAACTAATTAACTAATTTGGTTCTTTGAATGGAGTTTAAGGACTGATTTGTTAAACCTGGATGAAGTTATCTTGAATAACACTGTGCTCTTATTTCAAAATAAAGGCAACATCGGTAAGGAGTTGAAGCCATGATCGTCATTCATATGAGTGGCTGAGGGCCAATCGTGTGATTGCAGTGACTAAGTGTGTTGGAAACCCTCCCTGCATACCCTGGGGCAACAGATTCATGGACATAAATCTTATCGTATGGTGTGTTCCTGCATTGTTGCTGGTGTTATTTAGTTCTACATTGTGCTCCACAATATTGTAAATATTACCAGTGAATGTGGACAGACTACCAAAAGACTGCTATGAAAATTAAACTTTACTCAAATATGCATTTTCTCATCTAAAATCAATAATTAAATCAACATTCTTTCATCATAGATCCAAGAAAGCAGGCCATTTGTACCTGAAAATGAGTTCAAGGTTCACCCTAAAACCTGATCATGATTCTTTTATCAGTAAATATAAAACAAAGAAAAGTAAAGGATTCCCTAGTAATTTGCATATAAACTCTTTAACCATTACAACCCCCCTTTACTTGGTCTAACCTGTGACATCACTGATGACATCAGCAAAAACACAAAAGCAGGAAGTGTTTGGTTGCCACCCCCTTTAAATCCTGGGAAAGCATGGTATCAATAGATAAACCAACAAACATCAAAAAGAAGTAAAGACAGAATGGGTATAAGTGAGAACAAAGAATGCTTAACTGAAGAAAATAGAGACAATAAACTATAACTGAACTTAGACAATACTTCCGTGTTTTGTTTTCAGCAGGTAATATGATGGCAAAATATAATAAATCTGGGATAGCAAGTGCTTGCAGTGCTGCAGATTAAGATGGAAATCTGGCAAAACAAATAAAAGCATAGTTATAAGATGTGTAA